GAAGCCCACAGTGCAGAAAAAGCAGATGTATCTGGATCTGTTCAAACAGCAGGAACATATTTATAATTTTGAGTCCTAGCAAAACTACAGATTTGGGCTATAAGCATGTACATTTTCTTCTGTCCAGAAAACCAGGTATGGATTGGTTATACACTTTCCAAATCTATTAAAAAGTGACAGAAGCCAGTTAGAAGCCAGTTCATACACAGTTAGTTATACCCAAGTCTCTCCATTAGCACTGGAGGCAGAAGTATCAAAGCACAGCAATCTTCGCCAGGTCTATAAGGTGAGAGGTTTTTTTCTCTCTGTGGAAGAGGGTCATGGAAAAGACTGACCTTGTTTTGTCTAGCAAAGGGGGTGCAATCAATTTTCCAGTGTCCAGCAGCTTTGTCCACAGTCTTGGCTAGGTCCTGGCAGGCAGCAAGTGTCACATCTGAGCATCTCGCTCACTGGTCCAGGTGCAGGAACTGGGGTGTCTCATAATCTTCTTTGGAGACTTTGGGTCACTGTCAGGATCTGGTAGTCTGTCTGATATTATAAACTTATAAAACACCGTTTTAACTGCCATACTCTGCAGGTCTCTGAAGTATTAGAGGTCTGTGTGTTTTATTTACTTGCCTTAAGTACACAGGTGACTAGGTAAGGTCTTATTTCTGTAATTAATTAAATAATTTTCAGCCTAACTGTAACTGGTTTTAACTTAGTAAAATACTTGAAACTTAGCACAGCTGAATTTAAAACTGCATATAGTTACCTTATAGTCCTTAAACAATAGCTACATGTACACATGTACATATTTTAGCTGCTTTGCTTAAACTTAACTTCTTTCTGAGACAGGGTTTCTCTGTGACTTTGGAGCCTGTCCTGAAACTTGCCCTGTTGACCAGACTGGCCTGGAACTCACAAAGATTCTCCCGCCTCTGCCTCCTGAGTGCTGGGATTAAAGGCGTGTGCCATCAACCCCCTAAACTTAACTTCTGAAAACATAAACTGTAACATCTTATAATAGATTGGCAGCTTTTTTAAAACAAGAGCTTTACATTGTCAGACTTTGCTTAAAAAATGATTCTAAATTGAAGCTCTTTAAGTAAAAACATTAATAAAAAACATAAACATTTAAAAAACTGGTTTTAAAAGGAAATTTAAATTCCCTTAATGTCTTTCTGTAATATATAGAAGCATTAACATTTTAAATCTTAACTGAAAAACTTGTTTCTAAGATGGTACCTCTAATTTCTATGTGGTCACCTTTAGTCAAGATGGCGGTTCAAGTATCTTTTTTCAACCTCAGCAAAATGGTTACTAGTCAGCCATGCGACCAGCTTGCCATGTGGCTGGCTGCAAAATGGTGGTGACCTGCACCATTTGTTTTAGCTGTATGCTTGTAACAGAACTTAGGTTATGCCAGGAAACAGAACATTTTAAAACAAGCATACATAATTTACTTGAGAAATAAACAGAACTTTTTAAATAGAATTAACTTAACATGGTTAAAATTTTAACTTATGTTACCAATTTTTACTATTTGTATTCATGAGAAACCACAGCAAACAGTTTACATTTTTCTCTGACTTTTAACAACCTTTCCTCTGACCTTTGACAACTTTCCTCTGACCTTCTACGAGTGGTTTTAACCCTCTATAACTTTCTATATACCTTTAGTTCATTTCTCTGATTTCCTTAGACATTCTTAGACAAATTTCTCTTTCCCTTCCCCTCTTTATTACTTTAGTCTCCTACGTTTTCTCTCATTTCTCAGTCAACATAAAAACTCTTACCAAAGTCCTTTTTATAGTTTTTAATAACTTTAAGGCCCTTTCTTTAGAATGTCTGGATCAGGCCAGATGGTTCACCCGCCCCAGCTCCATGTGCTCCGGGCAGAGACCTTGGTGGTGGGGGTGCTGCTGGTAATCCCACACCCTCGGGATAGTGTTTGCCTGCATGCATGTATGTGTATCTTGTACATACATGGCTCCTACAAAGGTGTGAAGAAGCACTAGGTCCCATGACACTTGAGTTAGGGATGGTTATGGGCCACCATGGAGTGTTAAGAACAAACCTGATTCCTCACCAAAAGTAGTTAGTGCTCTTAGCTGCTGAGCTATCTCTGCAGCCCCTCAGTGGGATTTTGCTTTTAAGTAGAGCACTAACATAAGCCTGGGCTTGTTGTTGTTGTTGTTGCTCTGTTTTTTTGTTTGTTTTCTTTGGGAGACAGGATCTCACCATGGAGCCCTGGCTGGCCTGGGACTTTCTATGCAGACAAGGCTGGCCTCAAACCCACAGTGATCTTCCTGCTTCTGCCAATTGGTCACTGGGATTAAAGATGTGCACAACTACACCCAGTCTATAATGCCTTTATAATGTGGTTTTGTATCTCTCCTGAAATGTATGCAATAACTCCGTCTAAACAATGCTGACCACAGGAAACACTGTGCCCACGAAGCCACTGAGTGCCAGGTCTTACTGTCCTTCATGACAGAAGCACACATCCAGTTTGTCAAACAGAAAAACTTTGAAATTCAAATTTCATTTCCTTCAGCTGGTGGTGAATTCACTATGAGACTGTTTTGAACAGCGGTTGCCAGTAGGTGGCAGAACCGTCACTAACAAGACTGCTCTTCTCCAACAAGGCCATATTTCTTTGCCTTCTCCAAACAGATGCACAGTTTAGTGAAGACTATTGCTACTGTAATTTTCATTCCCACCAGGCAACAGTGGAAGAACAGGACAGTAAGCATTTACTGAGCCTGGTGAGCTACATTCATGGATGAGCTTGACAGTAATGTAGCCCTTCGCTGACCTATTTTACATATGAATAAGCCATGTGACAGGGGCTACAAAAATTTTCAAGTTACTGGATTGTAAATAGGGTAATCCACATTTTCTTGGTATGTGACTTAGAAGCCAGTTTTTACATAAATGTTATAGCAGCTGGGGTTACAACAGCAATCAAACTTTGTGAATTAATATTGTAGTGCTGCTGTTTCCTCAGGGAAATATTCCATACTGGAAAGAAATGAGGAAGACAGGAATTAAACAACTCAAAATGGCTTCACCAAGTTCCTGACACTGAACAGATTCACTAGGTCCCCTCCTCCCCCAGAGAGTATATGCAGTAAGTGGCTGCTGAGAGTTTCACTCAGACAGGCTCAGATGCCTGGAAGAAGCAGAGACCAGCAGGATTGCCTAGAGGAGGCAGAGACCACCTGAGGCCCTGGCAAGGACACTGTGCTGAGTTGGAGGAGAATGGTCCCTTAGGCTCATGTGTTTGAATGCTTGCTCCACATTTGGTGCATCTGTTTGGAGAAGATAAAGAAATATGGCCTTGTTTGAGGAGAGTGGTCTTGTTGGGGAGATGGCCTTTTTGAAGGATGTGTGACCTTATTGCAGGAGTTGTGTCACTGGGGTTGGGGTTCCAAATGCCCTCATGATGCCCAGTCAGCGATCTCTTCTGGCCTCATGCTTGTCTCCATACCTAAGCCGCTGCTCCCACGCCATACCTGCCTGCCTGCTGCCATGCTGTCTACTACGATGCTCATAGCCTCACCATCTGAAATGCTAAGCAAGCTGCCCGTAACTTCTTTATTTCTAAATTGCCGGGGTCATTGTGTTACTTCGAAGCAATAAAAAGTAACCAAGATAGGCACTCTTCAAATTGATGAGCTATCTGCAGTCTGTGCAGTGTGTCCCTCTGTCCCAGCTTTAATGAGCAGTCACCATGCTGAAATGTGTGGTAATATATTATTTATGATTTATTAAAGTCTTCCTGAGGGTACAGAAATCAAAGCTAGAAACAAACCATGGAAGTCTGGCAGTGATGATACACGCCTTTAATCCCAGCATCCATACTAACTAGCCATAGATCTAGGCAGTGGTGGCAGATAGCCTCAATCCCAGGAATCAGAAGACAGGCAGATGGATCTCTATTAGTTCAAAGCCACACCGAGCTACACAAAATTGATCCAGTCCTAAAGAGAAACAGCTCACATAAAGGTGATCACAAGCCTTTAATCCCAGCCCTAGGGAGGTATAAAAGGAAGGAGCAAAGGGTCTCATGAGAGAATTTGACTTTTTCCAAGTTGAGGAGAGGCAGCAGTCTGGGATTTGGTGGAGACAGGACTACCATTTCAGTCTGAGGTAGAGGTAAGTATGAGGCAGTGTCTTGGCTGTTTTGCTTCTCTGATCCTCAGCTTGAAGCTTGAACCCCAGTATCTATCTCTGGGTTTTTGTTTTCATGTTACAGGAATGGGCTTTGGGGCATCTGTCTTTTAGTCCATTCTGCTCTTGTAAGTAACTGCACACCCATATCCCTATATGCAACCCCGATAAGACTCATGGGTGACCAAGTTGAACTTTGGTGATATCTGTACTTTGGTCCACCATGAGCTCCCTCTCTGGGGTGAGTAGATTTGTGTCTTGTATCTCCCAAGGAAAGTTACTCACATGACAACCACACACAGTTTAATGATATAAAGTAATTTGTTTCTCTGAATTTTTTTGTAGGAAAATAGCCTTTTTGTAATTTATGCTTATATATAATCCAAGAGGGAATCCCATAGTCACTGTCTTGAGAACGTATCTTCCTCACTTATATGATTTGAACCCTTGGGTTGGACACACTGTGATGTTCTCTGTGAATACAGAAGTGCACACAGGACCTTCTCATTAGTCTACTGGGAATAAAATGGATGGCAAAGCAAAAGGGGCTAAACTAAGTTGAAGCAGAACACTGAGAAAAGTATTTTCCTGAATAAAAGATGTCTGTATTTAAAAATTAAGAAAAACTGGCTAAGCCCAGTGGTGGTGACACATGACTAAAAACCCCAGCACTTGGGAGGCATTGGAAGGCAGATCTCTGAGTTCAACACCAAACTGGTTTACAAAGCAAAGCAAAGGTCATTGAAATCCTGTCTCAAAAAACAAAACAAAACAAAAGAAAGAAAAACAATAATAAAAAATAAAGTTACAGACTCAAAATAAGCACAGTCTACTACAAAAAATGAACATTAACTTTTTATTTGATTTTATCATTTATTTGTGAATGTGTATCTATACAGCACAAAGGTCATAGGACAAACTTCCTGTGGAAGGTTTTCTACTTCCAACACATGAGTCCAGGTGTCCAACTCAGGTTATCAGTCTTAGTGGACGGTGACTTTACCTTCAGAGCCATATAACAGAGCCCAAACACATGTTTTAGTAAAGAGTAAAGATATGTCCTATGTGGTAGTTTATAGCTCGATTCTTGCCATTTGTGGATTACATAGCAACCTTGTTACAAAACAAACTTCACAAAACTAGAGAGTGTCAAACATCAGTAGTACACAGTTTGCCTAGCATGCATGAGAAGGTTTAATATAATGTCAATAAAGAAAGAACAGAGTTAAAAGAAGAGATGCTTGTGACCTGTTATTTCGTCCTTTTTGGGACTCCTCAGTACAGTATAGCATATGACCATAAACTTAAATTATTTTGTTCCTGAAAATTAACAAGTGTAAATGAAGGCAAGATTAGCCATCAGATGCTTTAAAGGAGGTTCTGGAATTAATTGTCTCCTGATCTGAAAAGAGCCTAACAAGGAATAAAATTCAAATGGCATACTCACATATGAAACTCTCAAAATGTTAAATTAGGAAACTAAAATTACATTTGCTTATCACATATTCTTAGTCTATTTTAATTAAAAAAGAACACCAAGAAGTAAAGTTGAAAACCTTTGACAATGGCATTAAACCATAGAATGTGATCTTGTCTAGATCTCCCTTCATATTGGTCATTGAATTTTGTAAAAAAAAAAATGATGATCATGTTTATTTGGAGGACACAGGCCAACCTCATCTTTTTGTGATTATTGAACCATTTCCATGGGTTCAGCCAACCTACAATTTTATGTCCCATGCATTCAAATCAAGAACTAATAAAAATTCATAACTTGTCATAAAAGTGTAGTTCACTAATACAGACATGATTGTATTTCAGATTTAAGATATGAATACTAGGGAACTGATATTGGAATGTAAAACATAAAGTAATGAAAAAGAACAAAACAAACCAAAAGAAAAAAGAATATGAATACTAGCTTATACCCAAAAGTCTGTATAATTCAGAATCATCCATGCTCTCTTCCCATATCTGTTATCCTCTAAGTAAATTTCCATCTTTTTGGCAACACATATTATTGATGGATGTAGATAATTTTAGCAGATCAGGAGTAGAGTAGCAACTGTATATAACAGGTCAAAGAGCATCTGTTTCTCATGCATGCTTTGGCACATTCCCTAGCCTGGATTTAAAATTTCTGGGCATTGTGAAGTACATATTTTAGACTTTCTACAAATCCACTTCTTATGTATGTAGTCCTTGGCACTGCTGATTCCGCTGTCATTCAGGTAGGCATATTCTCCTCCACCTTGGGTGAGAACCCTAAAACAAAAAACAAAAAACAATTTCCATACAGGCGATATTACTTTTAAACACCTGAACTAATTTTACCCTAGCATCTTTTACATGCTCAGGGATTGGCTTGAATACAACACCTTTGTCATTTGTTCATGTTGAGTCTTACATTGTTTGTAAACACATTTGACTTGTGCTTGATGTCGTGTTCAAATGGACTACTCCATGGGTGGTTTCACTGAGGGTGATTTTCAATTCTATCTTAAAGCATTTTACACATGTATAAAGGTGGGGAAACCCCATTTCTCAGTAAATTACTGAGAGGTTTTTAATGATGGACATGACCCAGCCTATGTTCTATTCTTCCATTCAGAAAGCTATTTTCTCATCCAGGAGCAGACTCGGTGTTCTTTGATGATGATACTTTAGAGGACATTCCCAATGCCCCTGGAGTCTCGGCTTCTGTGAACAGATGCAGCTGTGCAAACAGCTGTGTGACAGGTCCTACTACCCCAGCATTTCTACAGTGGCTTCCTAGGCTTTCAGAGCTCTCATTGACCATCTTCTTATGAGAGTGTCTATCATCAAGGAAAATTTTTGATTAGTGATGGAGCAGACAACATCTACTCCAGGTGCCTTCATCAAGCTAAAAAGGACTTTGAGTAAAATCACACTAAGTAAAAGCCTTGAAAATGATGGCCTATAAATGGGAGAACATTCAAAGATTTAAATGTGTAAGAACGTGGAGTTGTCTGGGAATTGGCTCTGCATGGAACTACACACCCTGCCTCTGAGCCACATCTGCTCACATCAGAAGGTTTCTATTTCTTCCTTTCCTGTACATTTGACATCACTTGATGTAGCCATTCATAAACACACACACACACACACACACACACACACACACACACACACACACACACAGACACACTCACACACACACACACACACACACACACACACATACACACACACACATACACACACACACACAGACATGCTCACACACACATACACACACACACACACAGACAGACATGCTCACACACACATACACACACACACACACAGACAGACATGCTCACACACACATACACACACACACACACAGACAGACATGCTCACACACACATACACACACACACACACAGACAGACATGCTCACACACACATACACACACACACACACACACACACACACACACACACATACACACACTTAACAACAAATGATCACAGTAGGAGGAAAAGTGTTCTAAAAACATACAAGTTGTTATATTCAGTGTTGTCTGTCCACATCCAAGGGTCTTCGGGTGACTCCCTGTGAAGGCCAATCCAGTGGTCAGAAGGTCCCTTGTATCTCTTCAGGAAATTCTGCCATATTACACAGAAAACAAATACATGTGTCTCTCAGCTTTAGATGACCCTTGAGTGTCTCCAACCTACAGACGTCTTTCAGGATGGCAGCTGAGGATCATTGATTTTGGAGCCACAATAACCCTCTGGTCCCAGTGGGTGCATTTTATATCCATAATCCAAAATACAATGCTCCCTTCCCACAGTGGCTGGGAAAGTCCCTAATGAAAAATGTCCCTGAGATTTTTGATAGACACCACTTTCAGTACGCAATATGTGCATGCTTGGAGGAAAACTTAAATGACCAGTAGATTCTATGTCTGGCCATTTAGGTTTTAATATGTGCACTGCATGAAAAGATGTCTCTCCTATATGTCAGGGCTCCAGCCAGAAGCGATAACACCAGCAAATGGCACAATCTGCTCCATATATGGCCATCTGCCTAGGGTAGGGTCCTTCCTTATGCTTCAGCTTTAAGATCTCCATCTCAAGGCAATACACATTCAACAGAACAACCCACAAACTAATCCAGATCCTTTCTTACCAGCTCCTCCTGGCTCTCATGTATAGCTAGATGGGCCTCTAGTGCCATGCAGGAAGTCTGGCTGAATGTCCAGTTTCTCATTTCTTCAGAAAAATAATAACATTTATTTCCAAATCCAATCCAGTCTTTTGGGCAGGTAGCATAGCAAGGTCCACTGTTCTCAGTGACTGGTCTCCCTAAAATGTAAACAGTGCCACAAATAAACATTCCCATGTCTGGTTTCTTTGTGTAGCCACCCAAATGTCAGAGGTGAGGTGAGTCCTTGTGTTGTACATTCAAAACTGATCACCAAGAGAACATCCTAGCATTATGGTCCCTATACCTGGGCCTTCCAGTAGTTTCTGAGGAAAGGCTTCATTTTCTTCTTTGTACTTTCTGATTTGAGACAGAATCGCAATATGTCTATCCCCTGCCTACTGTAGGACTGTAGTTGTCTGGAGCTTATGGTAATCCTCCTGGCTGTGCCCCCTGAGTGCTTGGACAAAGGACATCATATTGTGTGAGGAAATCATTCCTAAGTTATCAGCCTCTTAGGGCTGTTCCTGGTTCCTGGATTCCTATAGTTTCTTTTCCCAGAATCCTCCTTCACATTCTGTTATTTTCTTAACTAAAGAAACAAAACTCCTCCCTTGTCTGGGTTTTACTGTAGAGAAATACCTTCCTGCAAACCATGGCATGGGTAAAATGTTTCTTTAATACCAAAATTTTAATCAAGGGCTTCCTAAAATTCTATCACAAACACACACATTAAATGTATATAACCAATGATGGCTCTTATTAGAGCCAATTAGAATGGCTGTCATAAAGAATCTGACAACAATGCTGGGCAGAGGTGAAGCTTGACTTTAATCTCAATACTTGGGATGCAGAGGCAGGTTGTTCTCTGCACATTAGAAGCATGTGCAGAATTAGAAACACTTATTTACTGTTGGTGTGAGTACAAACTGATACATCCAGTATGGAGGTTTCTCAGAAAAATGTATTAATAGACCTGCCATGTGACACAATTCTGCTACTCTTGGGTATGTAAAAAGAGAATTCCACATTCTACCCTAGAGAAACTTGTACATTCATGGTTATTGCTCCCCTATTTGTAATAGTTAGAAAATGGACCTGACCTACATGTCCATCATCTGATGGACAGATAATGAAAACATGTTACATGTACAAAACAGAATGTTATTCAGCTGTAAATGAAAAATGAAAATGATAGGAAAGAGGGTGTCCTGGGACGGTATAATATTGAGTGAGGTCTCCCAAACTCAGAATGAAAGAGACCCATGTACTCTCTCACAGGCAAAACCAGCCAGTGATGTACAGTGTGAACCCCTGTGAGTGTGGGCCTGGTGTAACACACAGGGATGAGAGCAAGGAAGACTGACGTAAGGTGATTAGGAAGGACAGGGTGCAGCAAAGGACCTGTAAACATGACCAAGGGTATAAAGGGAAGAGGTTTTTCTTTTTTTTTTAGTTTCAATTCTACCAGTTTTTCTTTCCTTTTTTGTGGTTGATAAATACATAATAATTTGCTTGGCAGTGAAAGTGTAAAACCATAGCCAAAGCTCCATGTCTTCAAAAAGGCTATTGTAACTGTGTGGAAGTTCCATGAGATACATAGAGTTTGAACTTGACACATGTTGAAGTGGCTATGCTAATGGAGCTGTGTGATGCTTTCATTTAGGAATCTATTATAAAAAAGTGTTTGTGTGTGTCTATGTGTGTGCATGTATGTGTGTAAGTGTGTGTGTGTGTGTGTGTGTAAGAAGCTCTGAATGCAGCAAGCTTTCAGAGCACAGCTTAGAAGAATAACAGACACTTTTCTTACCTAACTTCAACCTTTTCTTTCTTTAGCAGTCCAGAACATATGTGCTTCTGTTTCAATGATCTAGTGAGTCTTAGAAATAAGTTATTTGATTAGAAATGTTAAACACCAGAAATGGCCACCCAATTAATTTTAGTGGAGGGAAATTTGTTGTAGCTGTTGTCAGTTCTTATACCAAGACAGGGACAAATGCAATGGGCACTGAGGGTTACTGTCACTTCTTTTTATCTGACTCTTTTCAGAGCTACATAATAGTTTAGATTACACCTACTAAGTCTTGTTGGCAAATACTTGTCAGAATAAATACTTTGGCAGACTAAAGTTGATTTCATTAAACAATATTGGATGGTGGTGGTGCACACCTTTGATCCCAGAACTTTGGAGGCAGAGGCAGGTGAATCTCTGTGCTCACAGCCAACCTGTGTATCCAGTGAGTTTCAGGACAGCCAGGACTACATGGAGCTACCCTGTCTCAGAAAACCAATATATATCGATATCATAGAGCATTTCCTCCCACTATGGCAACAAAGTTGTACAAGTCTATCACAGTATACAGAACAGTCTACAACTAAAAACTTAGGAATCACATCTTCTGGAACTTTCTATTTAATATTGTCAGACCATGGTTGAAATGTTTAACTGAAACCATGGGTCATGGGTTGGGCGTCCTTTACCTTTCTCCACCTTATTGCTCTTCAATGTTCTCACTTCCCTCAGCTGTAGCAATCTCGTTGAGAGTCTCTTTCAAGTTTTCCTCTCCTTTTTCTCTGTGTTGAGTAGTTAATCCAGGTGGACATACGTCTCCTGCGTCTCTCTAGAGCTTGCTGAATGCCATCTTCCCAGGGATGCTGAGCCTGGCCTCCTGTGCACACCACAGCCTGTGCTGTCCCTTCACCGAATCTTCCCACTAGATCCTAAGTTCCCAGAGAACAGGAATTTCCAGTGTGTTTCCTCTCCAGCCCTTCACACAGTGCCTGGCTCACAGTGGTAATTAAGGATTTGCTGACATCATACTTGTGTAGAAAATGATGCACAATTTGTAGAACAAGTCACTCACCTGACAATGACAAAGCAACAGAAAGTGAAAGTACAGTTACAGTGAGGACAGCGATCACTCCGTAGCAGCAGTAAAGCTTAGCAGGAGACTCAGCAGAGATGATTCTCAGACATTTTCCTTGGACTTTTTTACCTGAAAATATCAATATCAGAACATCAATTTCAAGAACTTGTAAAAGCAGGTAAAGGTGACCCAGAAAAGGGTTAGTGTGTCCGCTCAACATTCTAGTGTGACTCTGGGGGTCCTAGGCAGGACAATGGGACAAAAATAAGAAAAAACTGTCAGGCCTTATAGACATAAAAGTCTTGATATTCAGACAACATGGATATATCTACACATAAATTTCTTTTTTGCCTTTTTAAATTTCAATTAGAAACAAGTTTATTTTACATGCCAATCCCAGTTCCCTCTCCCTCCCTTCCTCACCTGCCCCTCACTCAACCCCCATCCTATCCTTTTTCTGCTCCCCAGGGAGGGTGAGGCCTTCCATGGGGGATCTTCAAAGTCTGTCATATCATTTGGAGCAGGGCCTAGGCCCTCCCCCATGTGTCTAGGCTGAAACAGTATCCCTCTGTGTGGAATGGGCTCCCAAAGTCTATTTGTATACTAGGGATAAATACTGATTCACTACCAGAGGCCCCATAGATTGCCCAGGCCTCTTGACACCCACAAGCGGGGGGAGGTGGGGTGTCTGCATCCGTCCTATGCTGGTTTCCCAGCTATCAGCTTGGATTCCATGAGCTGTCCCTTGTTCAGGTCAGCTGTTTCTGTGGGGATAAATTTCTACAAAGTCTATTAAAAGGGCTGTAAAAATGATGAAAGTGTTTACAGCATTGCAGGAAAATATGTCAATAGGCAAAATAAATTTCATTTTTATATACCAGCAATTATCACAGGCAAATAATTATATAAGGATAGCAATATTCATAGTACTTCTAAATAAGCAATTACTTATCTAATGAAACATTGGGTTTTTAAAACTCTTAGTACATTGTAGGTACAATTTCTTTTGAGCGAGAGAGACAGACACAGACACAGACAGAAATAGACACATACAAAGACAGACACAGACAGAGATAGACACACACAGAGACAGACAGACAGACTGACAGACAGAATAGAGACACACACAGAGCATGGGGGGACCCTACTAGCCCACCATTTATCTTTTTATTACTTTTTAGGGTCCAGATCAGAGTGTTCATTGCACTAAATCCAATTTATTTTTCTAGTGTATAGGTAAAGTGTTTGGTATTGTAACCAAGAAATCTTTGCCTAAGAAAGCTGCTATTCAACAAGATGTTTTTCATTTGTTTTCTTCAAATAGATTTAAGTTCTAGACTTCCTATTTGGGTGTGTGGTCCATTTTGAGTCTGTTATGATAAACAGGATGAGGTGTGAGTCTACCATGGAAACCCACTGTCTATCATCATATACAGAAGAGTGTTTATCCTCTTCCTACTGAAGAATTGTCCACCTTCCCCAGTCTACAGTACACACTCACATGCACTATAAACACACATTGATTTTTAAAAAGAAAAATGGGCCATATTATGGAATAAAATTTTGCTTACATAGTAATTATATGCATTAACTACGCTTAATATTACCAAAATCTGGGGAAAATAGTTGAAAAATAGTTTAACATTTTGTTAAAAGAGACCATATTTCCCTCAGGTCCTGTACCTAAGGGAAATGCCTATGTTTATATAAAATCCTCCCTGTGTTGACAGCAGCTTTATAAATTAATCCTGTGTTTTACTCCAGCTCAAATATCCCCTGAGCTTGTGACAAAGGAAAACAACATTACTCAGCACTGGGGAAAATGACTTAAAAAGGAAACCTGGACATTATGCTTGCACCTACCCATATATTATGCTGGTAAAATGATCCTCAGCCTGCTGTCCCCACAGGTCCCTAAGTTGGGCCATACACACCAAAAGTAAATCAAACAAACAAATGCATTCCAACCAAGAAAACAAAGACCATGTCTCAGGCTTTTGTAATTAATTCATTATTCATTTCTCTTGCCTAAAAATACTTAAATGTTATGTACTCTGACAGAGAAGCTAATATAAGAGAGCCCTCCTCCAATCTCCACTTCTACAGAGACCCACCATGACAGGCTAACAGGCAGGTGTTTCAGTTCCTCTGAGGGTCCCAGGTGAATCTCATCTATTTTATTTGAATCAAATAAGATTAACATACATACCTATTTCTACATCTTTCAGGCTGTCTGGAGTAGTGACGTCTGTCTTTAACAAGCCTGTGGAAGCTTCTTTAATCTTTGCAGCAGTCATCTGTGAGCTGAAAGGAAGAAACTCAACTGAATTCAGGAGGAGGTTTGAAACTCAAAACTGTGGAGAGGTTGAAAAAGCCTTGCATTCTGTATGTTGGTCCTTATAAGCACTTTACATGCTCAGTCCAGCCTGTCTAGGTGATTCATTAACCACTCCTTATCAGTCCTGAATACGTCACCTCTCAGCAGATAGAATTATAGAATTACATATTAGGCAATGGCCACTGTGAAGACCAGTCTAAGCACACTACAGGTAGTAAATGATCTAAGACTCATGTCTTTCCTCCTTTCTCTGTATACCAGTTCATTTTTCCCATTTTTTATTTTCTGATATCATTTTACATTCCAATCACAGTTCACCCTCCCACCCCTCTTCCCAACCCCCTGCCACCTCCCACCCTCCCTCACCTTTTCCATAGCCCTCACCCAGTCCATTCCTCCTCACAGATAAGGGCTCCCAAGAGGAGTCAACATAGTCTTGTACAATAGGTTAGGGCAGGGCCTGGCTCCTCTTCCATGCATTGAGACTGAGCATGGCATCCCACCATAGGGAATGGGCTCCAAAAAGCTAGCTCATATACCGGGATTATATCATGGTCTTACTGCCTCTGAGCATGGCAACCCATCATAGGGAATGAGCTCCAAGAAGTTAGCTCATGTACCAGGCTCACATGGTTCTTCTGCCAGGGGTCCCTCTGACAGTTCAAGCTTCACAACTGTATCCCACATCCAGAGGGCCTAGTTTGCTCCCCTGGAGTGTCTACAGTTGTAGTTCTATGAGTTTCCATAAGTTTGGTTCAGCTGTCTCTGTAGATTTCTCCTTTATGATCTTGATCTCCCTTGCTCAAAGTTCCCTCTTTCCTCTCTTCACCTGGGTTCCCGGAGCTTGGTCTGGTTCTTGGTTGTGGATCTCTGTGTCTGATTTCATTAATTACTGGATAAAGGATCTATGGTGATAGTTGGGGTATTCATCAATCTGATTATAGGGGTAGGCCAGTTCAGGCATCCTCTCTACTATTGCTATGAGTCTTAGTTGGGGTCCTCCTTGTGGAGGACCTCTCTATTAAGATATCTTTTCATTGCTCTTGCATTGAATCCCTCCCCACCTAGGCCATATCATTCCCTCCTGTTCATATCCCCTCCCATCCCCGTTACCATCTCCCTGCCCCCAGTTTACCCTGGAGATATATAACATCTCTTTCCAGAGTGACTCATATGTCCCTAAGAAGTCACCCTTGTTACTTAGGTGGAGCTGTAGACTTTAGTCTGGTTATCCTTTGCTTTACCATGTAATACCCACTTCTGAGTGAATACATACCGTATTTGTCTTTTGAATCTGTGTTACCTCAACCAGGATGTTTTTTTTTCTAGTATCATTCATTTGCCTACAAGTTTCATGGGGTCATCATTTTTTACTGCTGAGTAGTACTCCATTGTGTAAATGTACAATAATGTCTTTATCCATCCTTTTTGAGGGGCATCTAGGTTGTTTCCAAGTTCTGGTTATTTAAAAGAATGCTGCTATGAACATGTGGTATGATTGAGTATACTTTGGATAAATGCCCAGTAGCGGTCTTGAGGTAGATTGATCCCCAATTTTCTTAGACACTGCCATACTGATTTCCAAATTGGCTGTACAAGTTTGAACTCCCACTAGCAGCTGAGGGGTGTTCCCCAACTCCACATCCTCTCCAACATAACCTCTCTTCTATATTTTTGATATTAGTCATTCTGACAGGTGTAAGTTGGTATCTCAGGGTCATTTAGATTTGCATTTTCCTGATAATTAAGAATGTTGAGCAGTTCCTCAAATGTCTTTTGGCCATTTTAATTTCTTCTGGTGAGAATTCATTGTTTATATGAATTCTATATCCCATTCAAGTGTGTTATTTTGTATTTTGATATCTAGTTTCTTGAGTTCTTTATAAATTTTGGAGATCAGCCATCTGTCAGATGTGGGGTTGGTGAAGAACTTTTTCCATTCTGTAGGCTGAAGTTTTGTCTTCTTGACAGTGTCCTTTGCTTTACAGAGGCTTTTCAGTTTCACGAGGTCCCATTTATTGATTGTTGCTTTCAGTGTCTGTGCTACTGCTGTTATATTTAGGAAGTGGTCTCCTGTGCAAATGTGTTCCAGGATACTTCCACTTTCTCTTCTATCATGCTGAATTTGCTGGACTTATTTTGAGGTCTTTGATTCACTTAGATTTGGATTTTGTGCATGGTGATAGTTACAGATATATTTGCAATCTTCTGTATGTTAACATCCAGTTATTCCATCACCATTTGCTAAAGAGAAGTTCCTTTTTCCATTGTGCCATTTTGGCTTCTTAGTCAAAAATTAGGTGTTCATAGGTGTTTGGGTTGATATAAGGGTCTTTGATTTGATTCCTTTGATCTACCTGTTTGTTTTTATGCCAATTCTAGGCAGTTTTTGTTGCTATAGCTCTTTAGTAGAGTTTGAAATCTGGGATAGTGATGCCTCTGGACATTCCTTTATTATACAGGATTGTTTTATCTATTCTGGGTTTTCTGTTTCTCCATATGAAGTTGAATATTGTTCTTTCAAGGTCTGTGGAGAATTGTTTTGGGATTTTGATGGGAATTGCATTGAGTCTGTAGTTTGCTTTTGGTAGGATTGCCATTTTTATTATGTTGATCCTCCCTATCCAAGCGTATAGGAGATCTTTCCATTTTCTGATAGCCTCTTCAATGTCTTTCTTCAAGGACTTAAAGTTCTTGTAGTATAGGTCTTTCACTTGTTTGGTTAGTGTTACCCCAAGATATTTTATATTTGTTGCTATTGTAAAGGGTGATGGTTCTCTGGTTTCCTTTTTAAAACATTTTATAACTTATTTATTTGTATTTTATGTACATTAGTGTTTTGCCTGCATGCATGTCTGTGTGAAGATGTGGATACCCTGGAATAAGGAGTTACAGACAGTTGTGAGATGCCATGTAGGGGCTGGTAATTGAATCTGGGTTCTCTGGAGGAACATCCAACACTCTTACCCACTGAGCCAACTTTCCAACCCCATCACTGAAACTCTTATAAAGGAAAACATTTAATTGAGTTGGCAGCTTACAGTTCACTGGAGCACTTGTTTATGAAAAATGAGACTGAAGCCAGCTTCCTGTGGGATAGATCCTGTTTCTTGAGGCTGCAGCTTTACCAAGATTAGCCAATATGGCAAAGCTAAAACCTCCACCATCTTCATCTCCTCTGACTCTCAGTTGATGTCAAAACTACTAATTTTTTTCCAACTTTTTTAATTGATTTAGAAACAGGATTGTTTTACATGACAATCCCAGTTCCCTTCTCCCACCCGTCCTCCCCTACACCCCCCAACTAACACCTTATCTGTCACATATCTTTTCTGCTCCCCCTGAATGGTGAGGCCTTCCATAGGGTGTCATTAGAGTCTTTCGTATCCTTTGGGATAAGGCCTAGGACCACCCCCATGTGTCTTGGCTTAGGGAGTATTTCTCTATATGGAATGGGCTCCCAAAGTCCACACCTATGCTAGGGATAAATACTGGGCTTCTACAGGAGGTCCCATAGATTTCTGAGAAAACCACTAATTTTTCACATAGCCTCTTCTGAAAACCTTGGGTCAGGTAGGAACAATGTAGGAATCCAGCTCTGTACATAGACACGGTCATCCCTTTTCAAAGATTGTCTGAGACTGTGATTCACATGGTGCCTGACATTCTTTTGCTATCTCAGTCTAAAGGTTGGTACATGCTATAAGGACTGAAATTACAAATCATAAAAGTGAAGGCAGATAACACCCTGACAGGAAGGGAGGAAAGAAAGAAGCCATAGATTAAAAGGCAGGATAATAAACTTCAGAGGTCAGAGGTTTTTGCTCTCACTGACACTAAATATTTAAAATCTGTCTTTGCAAGGAAGAGTAATTATGATGCCAAAGATGGGGGAGAAAGACCACGCCATGTCCAGAGGACAGCATCCAACCTCAGTCCTCCATATCCATCAGCTCTACAGTCAGTCCTTCTGACCACATTCGGCAGTATTCCCTTGACTTAGGATTAAGTGAAATTAAATGCCTTGTTTGAAACTGAACTATCAGCATTACTCAGTACTTTGCCCATGTATACTTGCTCTGGCTCACCAAGTCTGTTGGAAGATATAGTCATGTGTTGCCTCACAGGCCTTCATAAGACCTCTCGGCCTTTCATTGTGCACACTAATCAGTTCAGGGTGAACTGATGACAGTAGGGAAGTAGCAGCAGGGACAGCTGAGAGCAATGGTGATGTTGACCAAGGCCACAGAACACCAGAGACAGGGAAGGAGAAAGAGGACAAAGGGTGCTGCTCTGAGGCGAAAGAAGGATGTATGGATGTAAGGAACAAGTGAAGAGCTGTCCACCAGCAGAGACAAGGAAGTCTGATGAGGTCTCAGGGTGTTAGCGATATTGATGATGGCTTTGAGGCTGAACAAGCAACAGCTACTTATTCTCAGTACTTGGACATCTTGAGTCACCACTTTGACCATTCTCTAGAGATATTTGTCTGACCAAGGCTGACAGGTGACTCTTCTACATAGATAAAATCAATACTTACCGAAGGCATTTATCTACATGTCCATTTGGCAAGACATCAGAAGTAGATTCCTTCATAGAGACCTCCTCAACTCTAATTACTAAGCCATGGCATCCAATCTCAAGATTAATTTTGGAGGGGACAGAACAGAGACCCCACTTTCAATACTTGGGGTGACATGCCAATAAGTGGGCTGCATTATTCCTAATAGCCAGATCATGGAAACAACCTAGATGCTCCTTAACTGAAGAATGGATAAAGAAAATGTGGTACATTTATACAACGGAGTACTACTCAATGGAAAAAAAAACAAACAATGGAATCTTGAAATTCACAGGTAAATGGATGGAACTAGAAAAGAACCATCCTGAGTGAGGTAACCCAGTCACAAAAAGACAATCGTGGTATGTACTCACTCATAAGTGGATACCAGACCAAAAGCAAAATTTACCCAATCTATAATCCACAACCCCAGAGAAGCTAGAATCCTTTTGCAGACACAGATGGAAACAGATGAAGAATTCCACAACTAATCCATGGGTCAAGCTCCTGGAGTACAATTGAAGTGAGAGAGGAGTGATAATATGAACAAAGGAGTCAAGACCATGATGGGGAAACCACAGGATCAGCTGACCCAAGCTAGTGAGAGATCACTGACTCAGGTCTGACAAATGGGGAACCTGCATGAGACCAAACTAGACTCTCTTAACATAGGTGACAATGGTGTGACTAGGACAATATATGAGGCCACTGGCAATGGGTCCAAAATCTAACACTAATTCACAAACTGGCGTAGTACAGCCCATTCTATATGGAGAGATACCTTGCTCTGCCTAGACACGGGGATGTGGGGGTGGAGAGTTGCCTTGATCCTGCTTGAACAAGATGATGGGACAAACTTAGACTTCCTCCGGGAGGCCTCACCCTCTCTGAGGAGGAGAATGGGGAGAGTGGGAGTAGAGGGGGGAGGGGAAACTGGGATTGGAATGTAAAAAATAACTAAATAATCTGTTATCTAAACTTTCTAGTGTAGACCCACACCACTGTTCAAGTTGCTGCTCACAATAGCCCAAAAGTAGAAGGAGCCCAAGTGGTCAACAGCAGATGGTTGGATAAAATTTCATATATAGGAACTGGAGAGATGGATCAGTGATTCTCAGGGCAGGCTGTTCTTCTAAAGAACCTGGGTTTGAATTCCAGGACCTACATAGTAGCACTTAACCATCTGTAATGCTAGTTCCAGGGGGCTCTGACACCCTCTTCTGGTCTCCATGGGCACCAGACACCAAGTGGCATGCAGACATACCCGAAGGCAAATTCTCATTAAAAGAGTTTTAATTTATGTGTGTGTGTGTTTTGCATTCCCCCTCCTACCTTCATGTCTCTCCCTTCCAGCCCCTTCCCCCTCCCTTCTTTCCCCTTTTCCCTCCTTCCTTCATTCTGCCTGTCATATGAACAGCCTAGCCACTTTTATGTTTTCCTATTTTATATCCTTTTCTGTAAGGAGACATTTCAGATGTGTTTTGCCTTTATTGGTTGTGTTCTACTCAAACTCCATTATCAAGAACCATCTGTAGCCTTAGTGGAAAATGTGTCATGTCTGTCATTGTATCGAATGCGGTTCATTCTCCTGCGATCATTTGAACTGTATATGTATCAGTATGAAAAAAGGGCTCCCATAAAAGGAGTGAGTGATAGCTTATTCTAGAGCTAAACATGAATACCCATGGCCCAGTAACACAGACTAAGTTTCCCCAAATGCCACGATTCAAAGTTTTTATACTAATAGAACAAAGAGTGCCATAAATCAAAACTCATTACAAATATGGTGGAAACCATCAGAAAGACAGTTTACAGCAACATGAGAAAACCTCTGCTAAAAGTCTCATATGCTACATGGTGGCATACTTCAGGTTTCCGTTGATGGAAGCTAGGAGTCTGTTAACACTGTCCAAACATGCTTCACCTGTCAGCTACAAGTCAAGTCGGGCACAGAAGTACACAGTGAGAGGCTATCATTTAAAAGATAAATTGTAACTGGGTTCTGGACCTGCAATATCCCTCCCTCTCCACAATCAATCAAGCTCTAATCAGGCAATCAGGATTTCTAGAGGGTTCAAAGTGGGGTGCAAGTTTCATTGCACAGTGATTAGTAAGTTCTTTACAGGAAGTGATGACCACTAATACATGTGTCTGAGGCCTGTACAGGCATAAGAACATGGGTTACTCTCTGATTTTCCAGAGAGAACACACACCAGACGTCTATTTCTAGCCATTGAGGTGGCTGAGACAGAGTCTTAATCGCGTCTGGTGTTTCCACTGGGCTCAACTCAATTGCTCTTCATACAGAAAATGAGGAACTTCACCAGGCTGAGGGGGGTGCTATTGATTTCTAAGACTTATTTGTCATTTCTAGAA